GCATCCTGGAGTACCTGGGTGGCGATGAACCCCTCTAGGACCTGAGCTGGCCCTACTGGAACTGTCTGGGCCGGAATCTCCTCCCCAAACTCTACCTGAGGCTCCGCTACTAGTGCTGCTGCTCGAGCTCTGGGTTGAGCCCTGCCTCTACCTTGGCCTCTAGCACGGCCTCGGCCTCTGCCCCTAGTAGGAGCTACCACTAGGGCTCTGGCTGCTGGTCAGCTGATGAAGCGGTACGTGTCCTCACCGTCTATGAAAGACAGAGTGGAAGTTCAATTAGCATTAAGAAATCAAGTCATACAACAGAATATAATAGATGCGAAGTTTTCCTAAACTCTGTAGCCTCTAGGGGATAAGCACAGACGTCTCCTTACCGATCCCTCAGACTTTACCTAGCTTGTTCATGAATTGTGAGACCTAGGAAACCTAGAGCTCCGATACCAACTTGTCACGACCCGGATTTTCCATCGTCGGGATCGTGATGGCACCTACTCGTGAAAGCTAGGTAAGACAACTACTATGATTTTAACACATTAGCAATTAACCCAAACAGAGATAAATAGTAACTAAAGCTAAGCAGATATAAAGTGCGGAAGTGTTATAACAATTCAAAATACTCCAATACATTTCTACCCCAATGATTTGGTGCCACAATTTCACGAACATCTACGAATTTCTACAAACACAGGTTTAGAAAGAAAAGTACAACTATTCTTCAAATGAAAAGAGACAGCAGAAAACTAAAGCGGGGAAAGGTGGACTTCAGGCTCTGCAGATGCCAGCAGATCTACCTTGGTCTCCCTAGACTGAAGGCAACTATCTCAAGCTACTTACAAGGTCCGACACCATAATCTGCACAAAAAGTGCAGAGTTCAGTATCAGTAAAACAGACCCCATGTACTGGTAAGTGTCGAGCCTAACCTCAGCGAAGTAGTGACGAGGCTAGGACACAACAATCATATAAACCTGTGCAGTTAAATCATATATGAATAGAACAATAGTAACAGGGAATAATAGATAAAGATGGGAAGGGGAACATGCTGCGGGGAATATCAAGTTCTAACAGTAATTCAGTAGAGAAGCATAATAAACACCATATTTTTATCAACAAGAATAATGAAACAGTAACACATGCACGACATCACCCTTCGTACTTTTATTCTTGTTCTCACCATAAGAAAACAACAGAAATGACACGACATCACTCTTCGTGCATTACCTCTCATAATCATGGCATGACATCACCTTTCGTGCATTAACTCTCAAAATATCGGCACAGCATCACCCTTCGTGCATTAGCTCTCAAATCATGACATGACATCACCCTTCGTGCATTAATACTCACAGTATCGGCACAGCATCACCGTTCGTGCATTAACACTAATTCACAATATCATGCACGACATCAACCTTCATACTTTACACTCTTCCTCACCCAAACAATAGAAAAAATACATCCCGGCAAGGGAATCAACAATAGAAACAAATACATCCCGGCAAGGGATTCATCTATAACCAATCTGGTTCCAACAGTTACTTTACAAAAGAAATCTCAAGTTGAGGTAATACTCAACAATGGTCAATTACCAAGAAATTATCATAAGCCTTTTTCAACATTGATAATCATCAATTTAAGCATGGACAGTACATAATAAGAGTCACAACAATCATGGTATAAGACTCACGGGCATGCTCGACACCAATGTATAGATACTCGTCACCACACCTATACGTCGTACTCAACACTAACATGTAGCAAATAAGACCACAACACCCATTCCCTCAAGCTAAGGTTAGACTAAACACTTACCTCAATTTCACGGACAAAATCAAGCCTTAATTACCGCTTTACCTCTCGATTCCACTTTAAATCCGCTTGTATCTAGTCATAATTTACTTAATAACATCAATAAATGCTAAATAAACCAATTCTAATGCATGAATATAGATTTCCAAATATTTTTCACAAAAGGTCAAAAATCGGTCCCGGGCCTGCTTGGTCAAAACTCAAAGTTCGAACCAAAACCCGACTACCCGTTCACCCATGAACCCAAATATGCAATTGGTTTTGAAATCCGACCTTAATTTGAGGTCCAAATCCCCAAATTTTGAAATTCCTAATTTCTACCCAAGAACACCCAATGTCCCATGAAAAACCCTAGATTTTGAGATGAAATCATATAAAAAGATGAAATAGATTGAAGAAAAAGAGTTAAGATTCATTTATCTATGATTTGGGGATGAACTTGCTCTAGACAAATCGCCCTTAGGAGTTTAGGTTTTGAAATTTTGAAGAATGAAGTGAAAATCCCGTCTAACTCTCACTTAACAGGCTGCAGTTGTCGCAATTGCGAACCCTTTGAATTTTTGCTGCCTTCGCATTTGCGACACATATGTCGTATTTGCGACCTCTGGGGCCTTCGCAATTCCGGCCAAAGTTTCCTATTTGCGAGGTTGGCCTTCCCAGGCCTTCTTCGCATTTGTGACACTATTGTCGCATTTTCTTGGCCAAGAGACTTTGCATTTGCGAAGCCTGATCTCGCATTTGCGAGATTAGAGGCCTGTGCAAAATACCAGATGCACAGCTCAGTTTTTCCTAAGTTTTAATTACTCTGTGGCCTATCCAAAACTCACCCGAACCCTCGGGTCTCTAAACGAAATATGCACGCAAGTCTAAAAACATCATACGGACTTGCTCGTATGATCAAATCATCAAAATAACAGCAAAAACTCCTAATTTAACCTCAAACTCATGATTTTCCTCAAGAACACATTAAATTTACTATTTTCACAACCGGATGTCCGAATCACGTCAAATCAACTCCGATTCTTATCAAATTTCACATATATGACATTAATATTATATAAACCTTTACTGGGCTCCGGAACCAAAATACGAGCCCATTACCATCAAGATCACACACCATTTCATTTCCAAAAGTCCTTATGTTTTGCAGCAAACAATTTTCTTGAAAAATTCTTTTCTCGGGCATGGGACCTCTAAACTCGATTCCGTGCATACGCCCAAGTCCCATATTTTACTACGGACCTTACGGGACCGTCAAATTACGGGTCCGAGTCCGTTTACCAAAAATGTTGACCGAAGTCAACTTTAATCAATTTTAAAGGCTAAATTCCATATTTTTCTTAAATTTCACCTAAAAAGCTTTTCGAAAATGCGTCCAAACTTTGCACGTAAATTAAGGAGAAAGGAAATAAGGTTTTCAAGTCTCAGAACCTGGATTCGGATTCTAAAATACAAGATGACCCTTTGGGTCATCACAAAAAAGCCCTAAAACCCGTTGCGGAGTTGCAGAGCCGATCGATGACTGCCACATGTCACAGACATTAAATGGAACTGGCATACGACGCATCAGTTCAGAAGAAGGTATAATGATACATGGGAAATGGCGGTAAAAATTCATGTCATAAAAAAGATCCACTTCCAAAATATTCAATTGCCTAATAATTGGCAAGTGGGGAACTATCTGTATTGGGAAAAATAAATATTACATGTGTAATTAATTATGTGGCTGACATGGCAAGACACGTGGATCATTAGAAAAGTGACAGTTGGAGAAGAGTACTTAAAGTGATACGAGTTTTAATAGGTACGAGCAAAACGTCTAAGAGACAAGAAGAAACGGTTGCTCGAGTCTCTTCGTAATTTGAAGAGACATCGGTGGAGTGAATCAAGACAACAAAAAGTACAGATTCGTTAATCTTCAATTAGTGAGCATGAATGACTAGAAACGTTACAGAATCTTTACGAAACAGTTACGATTGCCAATTATAACGTTTCATTAATGTTATTAAATGCTCATAATAACTCGATTACGAGAGGGAAGAGACGTTGTACTTAGAAATAGCTATAAATGGAAGAGAAATGTCATTTGTATGGATGCGTTCTGATTATTACTGGAATACACTTATTTACTTTTGCTTTATACCGATTGCTTTGCTATTTCTAGCTCTAAGTTTCCTTTCTCATTGCAAAAATATTCATTTTCTTGATTTTTAGTAATCTGAGTACTTCTAAAAATAAATTTTGACCGAAATTCCTATTTTCTGGTTAAACAACGTTAGATTGGGCATTTACCTTGAATAATTTTAATGAATGAGGGATAAATTTAATTCAATAGTATAACATCAAAAGTATTTTTATACAAAAGGTATAATAAAGTAGTAAATTTGAGCCCTCTCCCATTTAAAAATCCTGACTTTGTCATTGGAGCATTTGGTGGGGAGGAAATGCTCAAAGTTCCGTCTCCCGATCACAAAAGGACAAATTGAAGAAAGTAGGGGTAAATTGAAACAGGGCAAGTTTAGCGAAGTCTTATCTAAATCAATAAAAGTGGTTCGCCACTAACTCATGTTGGCCTGTGGCTATTGTACGTAAATGGAAAATCAAACTTATGCTATTCATATCACTAGACATAAAGGCAACCATGGGATCAAGTTGGTATGCTTCTGCTTGCCACCAATTTCCCTTCATAGGGTCCCCTTCTTTTTACTTTTTTCTTTTCTTTCCTATCCTTCTTTTTTTCGATATCTTCTTGTTAAATTTTTGTATCACTTGATATTACTTTTCTTTAATTTGCAAAACAAAGAAAGAGTAAATTAAAAAAAAAAAGAATCTTCATGACAAATATCAATAAGTAGACCTTCTATGAAAAATATATTATTCATAATAATTGCTACGTACCATCTCTCCTCGTCTATTAGCATGCACGATTGGTTTAAATGCCATATTTTAGGCACATTCATTAGAAGACTATGTTAGGGAAAAAAGGAGGAATGAGTTAGAATTTTTTTCTTTCTTTTCCGTCTAATATATTCTTAAAGGAGAATCTAAATTTATTTGTAATAACAAGTACTGCCAATAAGAAAAGGGGAAAACAACCTCCAATTTACATTATAATTAATTGCGGAGAGGTCCCCCACCAAAGGCTAATTAAAGGGTTGGAGTACAAATGACCAATACCAAGCAAAAAGATCAGTGAAAAAGAAACCATAATTTGAAAAAGCTAGTACAGATGCAAAAACTTTCACCAAGAAGAGATTGAGAAAAACAAGCAAAAAGAAAGAAAGCAATACAAACTCCCAGGCACAAAGCATTATAGTGTTGTTGAATCTAAAAGGTAGAAAATGAAATGAAGGTTATATCTAGTAGTAATAGTCCTATATATATGTTTGCAAGATCCATTAGAAGAGAAAGATAGAAAGGAATTGAAAAATAAAAAAAAGCTAAAAGGAAACTCTAGCTTAGCTCTTGGATTCCAAAAATAGAAAAATCAAATGGTATCATGCTTTAGCTTGTTGTAAGTTAAAGGCTATAATAACTACGTTGCAATTCCAAGCACGTCCGACTGAGCATTACTATTACGAATCTTCACTGATCATGTCGCTCCATTGATTTTTCCCAGGGTTTCCATGCTGAAGTCCATACCACAGGTTCATCTCTCCAAGTCAAGTAAATTCCAGGTGACTCTTGATTTTCTTGTGGTAGCACAAGTGACCATCCAGCCTTGTATCTCTTAAGCAAGGACTTAACATCATCAACAGCATCATCATTGAGTGGAAATGGAGAAAACAACTCTCTAAGCCTTTCAGACCATTGATTTCCTCTTTCTCTTGTTTCACCATCTCCTTCACCAATTTGATCATCACAAGCCAAAACCTTAACTATGCTTTTGGAACATTCCCTTTCGATCACAAGCCTTTCGTTGCTCGTGATTGGAAAGCTTTCATCAAGCATCTCAAAGTATAATGTGTAGAACCTAAGGCATTCTTCAAAACACTTAACAAAGTCATTCCTTGTGCTAGAAAAATCAGCCTCATGTTCTACTATTGTCACAACTTTAGGGTTAAGTGATTGAAGAATTCTTATAACATCTCCCCTTTCTTCTACTTCAACTTTTCTCAAGGCACCAATGCAATTAACTGCCACTGCTTCTTCTTCTTTAATATTCAAACTCTCCTTTGTGAGTTCTTTCAAGTTGTTCAATCCACCTAAAACATTGAACTCAAAAGGCACTCCCATTAACCTAGCAAATTTCTCCATTCTTTGTGCTACTTCTTTCATAACTGATTTCACTAACGTACTTTCCGTGACAACAACTGTGAGTTTTAGATGTGGTGTTTCGTCGTTTCGCGTGGCTAAAGCTTCTAGTAAAGTTGGCCATTGAGTACAAAAAGTGTGACTTATATCAATTATATGAAGCTTACTCTCACCATCTAATGCTTCTAAAATTGCACCATTTGATGCAACGTGACCAAAAGTTGTCCATGGACTTACCTCTTGAAACTTTAGGATCAATTTCCTAGATGAATCAAAAGATTTGCTCTTTTCAGCAGCTGAAGTTAGGGTTTTGTAACACCTCAAGCCAGTATCAGTGGCCTTACAAAAAAGGGCTTGCAAGAAATAAAATGCCAATTTTTGATTGCAATCACCATAGGGAGAAGCAAGCTCATTTAACATCCATAACAAGTGATGGATCTTGGTTGAATCTTTCTCAGAAATCGCGGTAACACACTCCCGGAGAAGCCTAGAAGCCCACTTGGCATCAGAAACTGGATCACCATTTTCTGGTGATTGACTTCTTGATGAGTTCTCATGAGGCTGTTGATTAGGGTTTTGCATGTTTATCAAATGATGAACATAGTTGGTTACTAAGAAATTATTTGTAGGTTTGGAAAAGAAAAGACTTTTTTCCATGTGTTATGGAGCCCTCTTAGAAGTGGCTCTAAGAAAGCACTTTTGCAGGTTTAAAGCATTTTGATTTC